AAACCTTCTGTAAAATACATCCATTACATGTTGATACCATGGAGACATTTTTCATTTTGTCATATATTTCTCGAATCTTCTAGAATCGTGGGTCTATAAATCTCGCCTTCATATCCTTCTAAACTTTCCAAGCTGCAATGTCTAAAATCCTAAAGAAAAATTATCCCTACCAATTCTGTAACAGCAAAAAGCCAGAAATATTTTGGAAAAAAATAGGAGGGAAAAAGTATAAAATTAATTTTATAGAGAAAACTGATGCACATTCTTAGAATTTTGAATATTCTGAGACATTTACATGGGAAAAACTCTTACTATGAAAAAATTAAAATGAAGACATTTTTTAATTAATTACATAGCTAATTTTGCTTTTGCTAAGAGCTGTTTCGTAAATTGTGCTTTATAGCATTATACCTTGTTTATTTTTCATATTTAAAATATTGCATAATAAGTTCCCAAAACAAAACTTTATAATATTACAGCGAAAAATAAAAATGTCTTATTTCAATGTTATTTTTTAAATATAATTTCAATATATTACCATTATTTTAATGAAATTTATTAATGTTAAGATGTTTTACAAAAAATCGTCGAAAAATTCTCAGATCTCGGAATTAAAAAGTTTCTATAGAAACTAATCTTAAAATCACCAAAATGTTGAAAAGTCGCCAAATTTAGAAACGTTTAATAAAAGAATTGACATCTCCAAAAGCGAAAAGTTGTTTAAGAGCTCTTTACTAGAAAAAATGAATTTCAAAAGGCTTATGTTTCACTTCTTGCTTAGAAACTCGAGTATGCTATCATTTATATTAGAAATAGAAACAAATTATAACTCATGAACACATTCAAAAGATAATCATATATTCGGCAGTGAATCGCCAAAAATATTCCTCAAAGTGCTAATTCACACTCAAAATTACAGTCGTAAAAACAGACAAAAATTTCAGATGATTAAAATTAAGGACCTTCTGCTGATTTTGGCCAAAATTAAGGAATTTTAAGGATCAAAAATCGATTCCAAAAAATCTAAGGACTCTTAAGGACCATACGAACCCTGAAAAATATGCTTATATACACAGAAGTAGGTTTTTTGATCGTGAAGTAAGTCATGGCCAATTTAGTGGCCTGTTAGTTGCATGGAAAACATGATGCCTTTTTCTGAGCCTTGTAGGCATGTTAAAAAAAAAAAAAAAAAAAAAAAAAAGAATCGTCATTGTTTCAAGAAAATCCAATTCAGCTTCTTCAGTTGCTGAATTGTATTTTTTTTTTTAGGCTTTTTAACTTCATAAAGATATATCTTGTTTAGTTAATGTCTTTAAGTCCTTCCTAATGATTCTAAAATTCTATAAACTTAATTTTTGAATTTCATTAATATTTTTGCCAACAGATGATGCTACCTTCTCACTTAACTTTACTGTGGAGTATAACTACGACCGTTATGGCCACTGCTTTCCATTCGACCGCGTCTGGCATGAGGGACTCATTGCAAAACTAATCAACCTTAATTTTGAAAGAGAAATTCTTCTGATCATCCTCTCATTTACCTCGGACAGGACTTTTAAAGTGTACGTGAAAGGAGCTTACTCCTCAGAACGTAATATGCAAAGTTGACTACCTCAAGGGTCTTGTTTAGGCCCTGTACTCTATTTAATTTATGCTGCAATCTTCCCTAAACCCAACAGTAACAACTCTATCCTTGCATGTTACGCAGATGATACTGCCCTGGCAGTTACGTCTGCAAACATTAACTTCGCTATTAAGAAACTACAAGCCTTCATTCCAAGTATCGAGTCATGGTGCGCAAATTGGAAAGTGAAGATTAATGCTCAAAAATCTCAATTATTGATCATTCGCAGAAGGAAAAGAAATAAGCAACTGAAGAATCACCTTCTCCTCTTTAATGAAAGAGTTCCTATAGAGAAAAGTGCCAAATATCTCGGAGTCACTCTTAATGATCGTCTTACCTGGACTGACCATATCAACAATGTTCGAACCACTGCACTAAAAATTATCAAGTGTTTGCTTCCTATACTTGGTAAATACTCTAGAATGGATTTGGGGAAGAAAAGACTTGTTTATCTCTCCACAATTAGACCTATTTTGACTTATGCATCTCCTGCCTGGGCGGCAGCCAAAGACTCAGATGTAAACAAACTTCAAATCGTTCAAAATAAACTCCTGCGTATTAACACAAACGCACACTATTATGTCCGCTACAAGACCCTCCACGAGGACTTCAAAATCGATACCATCGCAGTACATCTGTGAAAACTTAACGATAAATTCTTCAAAAATGCGCAGGAACGTAACTTCATGAATCATTTCAACATGTTTCATTATGAAGTTCTCACCGATGATCGATTCCTTCAACCTTTCGCAGCCTCAGTGGAAACGAAAATTTCCCCACCTAATACCAAGTTAGCGGAAATTTTGATCTGTACATAGTGATTTTACTCTTATTTTCTTTTACTTTACTCCAGAATACTGCTTTTCTTCAATACTCAAGAAGCACTTCTAAAAGTCAGCGCCTGGGAGAGTGACCTCCCACGTGACCTAAGAACTTAAGTTCTATGTTCAGTCTTGTTGTAGGACTTTCTGCATTTTTTAAGACTGAAATTTCTGGTGTTCCTTATATTTATCATATTGAAGAACATGAGAAAAATAGTGATTTTTCGCTATTGCAACCCATTATTTAATTATTTTACTCTTTTCATCAGTTTTAGACAAGTTTACGCTAAGCGAATCAGAATGCCTGATTCCGCTCACGTGATATGTGACTTATTCTAAGTATGCTCTGGGATAGACATATTGAATTTGTATATATGTATTTTGTGTTAACATTTGTTCTGCATTTATTCTGTTATTTTGTAACTCTTACTAAAATTATTGCTTTCCTGAAACATCTTCGACTGTTATAATGAAACCATGATTCTGTTTACACCACCCCCATCACATTATCATGGAATCAGAACCTTCAACTTACAGGACTGCTAGACTGTATTATGTGATGAAATTTGGTTTATTCCATATGTTGTTACTCTGATGATTACTAGAAAAATTTCCCTTTTATGTAATTATTTCTGCAAATTTGTACATTTAATGTTTTCTTCAGCATTTTTAACCTGAAATCTCGCAACGTAGTAACGACTTCTTCACACCTCACGTGACCAAGGTAGTCCCACCGCCCTCTCAACATCTGCAATCCTGACTTCGGTTTCACTCATGCATTCTCCTACTTTCAGCACTCTATAGCAACTAACTCAGACAGCCGGAACAAAACTTGCAAATACTGCAAGTTAATCAGTGGCGCATCCAGCGGAACTTGGAACTGCTTTCCGAAGGTTTTTCATTTGTACAATCAATACCTCTCTTTTTGGCGATTTATTTAAAAAAAATTCACTGTCATGAACCCAAGGGGCACCATCTCAACTGAGCCAGACCACGTCACACCAAATGTGTGATATTTTTGGTTTATAGAGGAACTAAGAGCTGCTTTCCAGTCTTGAAGATTTCTTTGCTCCTGATGGACCTGTACTCGTTTGCCCTAGAAATCGATGGAGATCCTGACTTAAATTTATGCCAAACTCAAGGTTGATGCATTACTAATTTTACAAATTAAATTGACTCTTGAATTTACAGAACTCAGTTGGCACATGTTTCAGTAATGTGATTTTTTTTAAGGTTATTTTGAATCTAGATTGACTCCAAAGTATTTTACAGAACACCTTGTGAAAAGGTGTATCTCCAAATTGCTAGATTAGTATCTTGGATTACTATACCTAATAATATAGTTTAAACCCTATAATATACTTTTAAACTCTTGGAATGATAAAATAAAGCATGTTTTTATCTTAAACTTCCAAATTTTGGGAGTTCACTGTATTAACAAAACACTGCAGTTTATCAGAGAATGTGTTATTAAAACAATATTGTCTACATAGAATACTATATTAAAATCAAGGAAAGAGAAAAATTATTTTTGAGTGCACTTGAATCACAAATCTTTTGGTTAACAGCACAATGCTAGACAACTGTAAAAGGAAACCCACGCAAAAAGTCTAAAATTTTCTAATTTGCTTTTATTATTTACATGTACATCTGCCAAACCGAAAAGTTTGCCGTGGTTGAGCAGTACTCAGAGCGAGTAAGGGACAGTGTGCCCTAGATTTCAATTTTAAATATTGCAACATTTTATTCATCCTTTAATTTACTTTGTTTCTTTTAAAGAACTATTTTTATAAGAATAATGGGAAAAATTTAATAAAAAAAATTAGATATGAAATTTTTATTTCATTTCTCCCACTCAACCAGATGTGTAATTTTTATTTCCATTAAAATGGCAAACATTTCAGTTAAAAAGAAAGGGGGAGAGGAGAAAAGACAATTGCCTCAAAAGAGATTGCTTCTTAGAATACATTTATGACAAAATATTATTTTAATAAATGTTGTAAGTTTGTTGAAAAACCAAATAAATTATAACTAAACAAATGAAAAATTTTTAACATATTATTTCTTTAAAAATATTGCTTACGCATAAATTTTCTTGCAAATATAAAAATAACATTAAAAAAATCAAAAATAGTTAAAAAAAATAAGTCATTTCAAGAGTTCAATCTATGACTCTGCCTATGTGTACACTTGGCCACAGAACACTTTGAACTTGCATAGAAAGCCATTTCAAAAAATTTTTAGTTTCATTATCTTGCTTATTTTAGAAAGACAATTTTGCAAATGCAGAGCAATTAATGCCTCCCTATAACTATGTGGAGTTCAGGATTATGTCAGCTTTCTCAAAAATTTACACTCTCACACTGTATAAAAAAGAATCATGAAATTAATATTTACACCATACCATAAGTATAAAATCCATAGCACAGAGTTTATAAATATAACAGCTACACTTCTTCATTTTTAAACAAAAGAGTTTAACAAATCTATTGATAAAATAACTTGGTTATTGCTTGATGGAAACAGGTGTTTATGTAATTTACCACTCAACCAAATAAGCAAAATATACTCATAATTTTAATAAAACCACTTATTCATTACAGCTGCTTCATTTAACTGCACTAGTACTTGCACGAGGAAAAACAACACTGGAATCTATATATGCTGATGGATGGAAGAGTTCATCTTTCTGATCAGCCATATACCTAGGGGGGGGAGAAATTTCTATCATTCATTTGATTTCATAACTAATATATTTTTTACTTTTTGTGCAAGGGTTTATATATAAGATAAAATAAATGAAAATCAAAACACTAACAACATATAAAATAATATTAATATTAGAATATGAGTGCTTCCAAACATTTGAAGCAGGTTACACTGTTAAAACATTCCATGCCATAAGAGCCCCGACGGAACAACCCAAGAGTAAATATATAGCCAATGCTTAAAAGACACCCGAGAAAATGCCTTTCAAGAACAAATCATTATTGCAATAATACATGAGAATATTTATGGCGTTCACACATAAATGTCAAATCAGCCCAAGAAGTTTGACAAAAGTCTCCAAGATATAGACCACGATTACATGTAGTAAAATTGCCCCCAAAAGACCAAAAATTCAAATTATGAATATTTATTTAAAACATACTTTAAGAAATTTATTAACAATATATTTTAAGAAATATATGCAATATATTAATAAACTTACAGTTTAATAAACTTAAAAGTCAAAAACTTACATTCCAAGATTATATGCAGTGCTATGAAGAAAGTCCATACATTCCATGTTAACATATCTCTCTACTAATGACTTCCAGGTGATGACAGAATTGTAGATTTTGATTGTAATAATAATAACTTACTCTTTTATAATACCTGATATTAATTCATTATATAATCACCCCCAGATAATAATTACTATTACCAGTAACAGTAATTATTTTCTCTTTTATAATAAATGATAGTAATCTACTGTTCTTATTTTGATGGGTCATGATAAAGCAGTATTGCAACAATACAGTACAACCTCAATTTTTCAGCTCATAATAAATTAACAAGTAACATAACTCAAATTTTTTTCACTAATGCTACTGTAAACTTTCTGAGAACTGTAAGGAACAAGCTAGCAAGCATGCAGTGCATGCTATCAGATCACATCTGATTTTCAACTGAGCTACTGGTAACAACTTTCTTATTACGCTATTATTATACATATTTTTCAACGGCAGAAATTGTTCTCTCTACATTACTTGTACAATAAAAAGAGTTCTTCCTCTACATTTTTTGTGGTCATATAGTGAGTATGCTTTCTTCATTATGATGGGTTACTCTTATTAGAGTGGTGTTGCATTATAAAAAATAAAATTATGATCAGAAATCATAAATTTGCACTTGATCATTTTTTTTCATTTTTAAGACTGTATCCTGTTCTAATTACAGCAGAATTAGGACTGCTCATAAGCATTCATAATTCTGCACACAGATCAAAACAAGCAGTTAATTACTTTATAATTTTGTGTTTCTTCCTTGAGATGTTTCACATATGAAGCAATTTCTTAGGAAACCTGATATCCTTTATTTTGTCTCTACTGTTGTGTTCGTTGAGTTTTATAATAGATTGAATGCACACAGAACCAAGGACAGCTTGAAAAAAAATTATTTTACCAAAAGAACACTTTAGTTCTGGAACTTTCCACAAAAATACTTACATAGCTCTTCCCAATCACAGACTACAGTCAGTAGTTACACTTCAAACTACTAAGAAAGCTAGATATAATGCAAAGTGCATCTGAAGAACGACGCTCACACAGAGATATCCCAATGCTTCAAAGTCGAATGTGAAATGAAAAACTGAGAGATGTTCTCTGCAGGCTTATATAGTTTTATTCTGGCCACCTAGAAATCTCCAGTACCTTTCATTAACCAGTACTGGAAGGCATATGAGAGCCAGCTATGGTTACAGTTACATATAGGGATCATTTACATTTATTCATTTACAAAACCAATACAGCTATACAGAGACCAAACAAAAATGTTATCAAATGGTTGCCAATTTTGGTGACTTTTAATGATTTCTGGTAAAATTTGGCGACAAAATTTAGTCACTAAAAATATCCCAGCTCTATCGTCAATTTACCAAGACAGCAATTTCTACATTCAAATGATGCCTAAGTTAAGGAAGGCATATTTGCAAGTCCATAGATTACTGTGATTTTCTAGGATACCCACTACCATACCTTGAGATAATGTAAAAGAAGCATTGTATGCTTTCAGAATGATAGCAAATAATTTTCTAGGAATTTGCAGAGCTTAGAATAACAACGGGAGAAAAGTATGCTATCATGTTAGAAAAAGATGGATTGCAAAAAGTTATCAAAAATATCTTTTATGCATTCACACCTTGTTTTTTAATCCATTAAATGTGGCTGTGCCAGTAACAAGCAAAGTGAATGCTTCCATCAAAACATTTTTTTCATGGTAAAACACTAACAGAGAACAGACTTCTCTTCTGTTCTGTAAAACATCTCTGTAGATTCATACAGTGATAGAGAGAGATAGCAAAGAAACATTGTAAGTAATACCCAATTACACTAATGTTAATGTAATAAATGCTGCATAGTTTACTACTCATGATTAGAAAAACATTTGAAAAGTTCCTGTGCAACTATGTTGTATTACATCTGTAAACGCAACGTATTAATTTTATTTAAAATGTATTTTCCCGATTGGCAACAACAGTTTTTTTCAGAACGATAATAATTTGAACTGCAGAGTTTTTGAGCAGTAATGTTGACGGTAATGTTTCTGAATTAAGCAAGTATCTAACAATTAATGTTTCAACGGTAATGTTTGACGGAATGTGTTTTTAATAAAGGAACTAATTAATTGCTAACACATATACACTAATAAAGGAACTAATTAATTGCTAACACATCATTTACACAATGTCCACAAAAGTCCTAACCTGGCATTTATTTTCACAACCTATGGTTGTAGATATATGCAGGGTTGCCACTCAAACAAGAGAATAAAATTCCCCTGACTTTTCCAGGTTTTCCAGGTATGTTTCGAGAAAATTCCAGTCTATCTGCATAATGTATGTTGGCTGTGCTAAGAGGTAAATTAATTATGGTATTACTTGTACTGTGTAGCAAATTCACTTAATTATTCAATAAATCCCAGAGGACATTTATTCTTAATTATTCTTGGTACACTTTGTTTGATAATTTTGTTTACTTTTCTGCTTAAAAACTTAATAAAATTTAAGATATATACATTGGATAACAACTGTATGTTTTATTTAATTATTACTCATGATCATCCCCAGTTCAACACGAGGCTAATCTGGTTCTTGTAAATCACAACGCAATGCTAAAAGTTAGGTTAGTTTTAGGTAAATTTAATTTAAGATTGAGATTAGAATCTGCCCAATCTGGAATAAAATAAGGCTTTTTTTGCAGCCATTCTGCAGCTAAATGAAAGAAAGAAATATATTTAATGATATTTTTTTACTAAATTGAGGTATTTTATATTTATTTCGCAGCATACATAAGGAAAAAATATGTGCATTAAATTTCGTGATGTCATCATACTGCTAGAATTAGTTTCAGGATTATACCAGAGAAAATTTCCTGAAATTTGGAAATATTATTTACTAATGATACATAAATTTAGAGGGAAGAAGCAACATTAAATGACAGGAAGAAGCAACATTAAATGACATGAATAACATAAAAATAAAGATAATTACTTAAAAATTTAATTAGAATAATCAACAATATTTTAGCGAATATAGCTATATTACATGGTTATCCTAGATGATTGATTACTATTTTTTTATTTTACTGCAAAATGACAAGGTATATATATATATATATATATATAAAGATTTTGCGGTAAAATCCTAGTATACGATACGATACGGCCTTCGCATGATTTTGAAAATTGTCGCCTAAGAAACGTTTTTTGACAAAAAAGAAAACCGCAAAAATCCGTTTTTAAATTATTGCGAAAAATCCAAGAAGAAATGTTTTATCAAAGAACGTTTTTCTTGGATTTTTTGCAATAATTTTAAAAACGGATTTTCGTAGATTTCCCCCCCCTCAAAATAACTAATCCATGAATTAATTTACTTGCGCCAAAAAATATTTTCTTTTCCTTGAGAGTTTAAAGACATTTTAAAACGATATTTTTATGAACTCTTGATAACGTGACCTTCGAACTTCGACACCGGTTTCGAGCTTTGGCGACAGATATATCGCGAATGCACAGCTGTTTCCCGCTATGATGGAACCGAGCCACGTCTGTTGCAGAGAGGTTTTCCTTCTTTACAATACATATTTTTTTAATTCAAAGCTTTCAGATTTTATTTTATGCCCAAACGGACCTTTTTTAAAAAAAATATTCTGTGTGTTCCCTTTATTTTATAACGTTCTTTGTACTTAAACCATAAAATTCAATTCAACAGCGGTATCATAAAATATTTAAAAAGAGCATACCTTTAGAATTTCTGATATACGGTCTCGTGCCGAAACCGTTGAGTTTGTTAAGCAAAAAATCATTAAAATAGTTCATTATTTAACACAACTGAATCTATTAGTCATTTTATCTTCTCATTATGAGATAGTGCCAAAAGGGTAAACGTATACTGAACCCTCAAGAGAGGTGGTATATGCAACCTTATGGTAGAATTGAACTCGGGCCTTTGGTGGGAGCTAACCTCTACTATGCTCCGCACAGATAATCAAGCTAGATTATTTCTGTAAATTTATCAATAAAGATGACACACCTTTCAAACTTATGTACTAAAAAAGTGGTGGCAACTTGTGGCTAATTTGTGCATTCATTGTAAGAGTAATCCTCATTCTCAATTATTTAAATGTATTAGCTTTTTAGAACTTCCCTATCGAAGAAAAATGGGATATTATTAAAAGGAATAAATTATGTGCTAATTATTTGAAAGATAGTAAAATGCATCCCATTTTTAAATGTCATGCAGGCATGTGTAAATCTTGTTCAAAGCCACGTAATACAATGTTATGTTAAAAAAATTCGAATGATGAAAAATGTCACACACCCACGGAGCACGGAACTTTTGCTATTAGTAGCCACACTAATAACACCAACAACGCTAATAACATTGATAATGCTGTGAGCGCCGAACTATATCTATTGTATGAACTTGTTCTTCTCACGGCCAATAAACGCAATAACGAACATCCATGTCTCTACTTTCCATCCACTACACATCATAGTTGTAATATTCGTACATATAGAAGATAGTAATTTTTTAATCTAGACTTTTTCACGAGGACAGAAAGTCTGTTATGTCCATATATATATATATGTATATATAGTATTGTTTCATAAGAATAATTGAATTTAATTAAAAAAATTAATTTAAATACAAATTTAATTAAATATTCTTTGCGCCATTGCTGCAAGGAATGAAAATTAAATTTAAACAAATTTAAATTTAAATTTTAACAAATTTAAATCCTAAAAAAAGGAAAAAAAAACCAAAATAACTTAAAAAAAAAATGTGCAAACATATAAAAGATTTAATACTCGAACTAATCTACAATATCATTTAAATTCAGAAGCATAAGCAAATCAAGTGCAAAATTAATCCATGAAAATAAATTTACTAATTTAATAAATTAAATTTAAATTAAACATTTTTTTAAAAAATTGCATATGTGAATGATTGAGTAGGCAGGAGACAGACTTATCAAGGGGAAGTTGCCTCCAAACCTAACTCTCCAATCATTCAATTCGTGTTTCGTCATTCATGCAGGCAAGGGTAAAAGTCAAAACCAAAAGTAATTTCAATAAAGTGGTTCTCTTAGAAATTAACATTTAAGAATTAAAGTTCAAAAAGGAAAATACTAATAAAGTCTTTTGAGAAACAAGCAAGTAAAGTCAAGAATTAAACTTTTTTTTAAAAAATTAAATTTTTTAAAAAATGAATTTTTTATAAAAAAATAATAAAATAATCTAGAAACCAATGTATTTTAGAAACCCTTGTCTACCGAAACCTCCCCTACACGAATATGCATATCAATAAAAAGAAACTAAAAAAGAACTAGACATAATCCCTATAAACCAATAAGAAACAAAAAGAACTATTACAATTTTTAAAAAACAATATATATTTAAAAATATGATTTCATATTTAGAAAATACTTAGATACTACATAAAAATTTTAAAAAATACTTAAAGCAAGTAAATAGTAAGTTTTAATTCTAACTTACCTACTATATGAGAGTGTTGGGGTCTGCAAAAGTGTTGTAAAAGAGAAGTAAGTGTGTTCTTCAAATTATATAGATGGCGATTATGTAGGTAAAGTTGAGTGTCAAGCTGCTATCTTTGTTATAGTAAAAATTTTTTTTCTAAACGTTAACATTAAAAATTAAATTAAATTAAAAATCCTAAAGGTGGTAATTATCATTTTTTTAGGGAGTTAAGAACTGAGCCAATCAAAAGATGTAAGTTTGCTTGAAGGAAAATAAAGTGGTATTGTGAATAAAATGTAAAATGTTTGTAATGTGAAATGTGTGGTCTGTTGAAAAAGTGTGTAAAAAAAAAAAAAAAAAAAACCCGTTAAGTGAAAAAATTTTTTGTGTGAAAATTGCAAAAAATTAAAGTAATTAAGAGAACTGAAATGTTTTAATATTAAAGTTTTAAAGTAAAATTTCCCAAAATTTTTTGAAAAGAAGTCCTTAAAAAAAAAACCTCTAAAAAATTCCAGAAATTTCTCAAAAATTACTTTAAGAAGTTAATTAAAACTTAAATTTAATGAAAGAAAAATATTAAAAGTTTAATGAACTTGATTTCAATTGGTATATCAAAACTTAACAAATACTGGCTAAAGTATGGAAAATTAGAAGAAGATTAAAATCTTCACTCAATTCGGGCTATAATTGAGACTTTTGAAAAGAGTTGGCCCTTTATTAGTAAAAGGAAAGAATCCAGTATTGATTAAATATACATATTTACAAAATATTTACAATAATTTCTCTACTATTTTATATCCTTCCTTACCCTCCAGCTAAGGTTTAAGGTAATGTTATCATATCCAAAAGAGCCAAAAAATTATAAAGTCAAGGCCTGCCTTTTTAATATATAAATTAGTAAATTTTGGTGGTACTTGGTTATCAACTTGTACATTAATTAGCTTTATTATTTCTTCCTTTAAATCGTCTATTTCAGTACATATATTATTTATTCTGATAATTTGGCTATGAAACGTGTTTTCTATTACTACTTTTCTAGAGATATTAGAGTTCCAATTAATTAGTTTTAATAGTAGGAAATGGAAATTCCTTCTTTTATCAAATAATTTAATTTTGCTGTGTTTAATAATTTACAGGTCTAGGAATGCAATAGTATCTTGATTCGTATTCGTTTTATTAGTGTTAAACTATTTGGGTAAATTTTGAATTGCTCAAAAGTAGAATTATTATTGAAAGTTATAATATCATCTATGTATCTAAAAGTATGAGCAAATAGCTTTAATTCATTTTTATTTAAACTTAGTTAGAATTTATATTCAAAAGTAAAAAGAAATAGGTTACAAATTTGTGTAGAACTGTTTGCTCCCATAGGAATTCCTCTAACTTGCTGAAAGATCTTATTATTGAATTTAATGTAGTTATTAAATAATGCACAATTCAGATAAGTATTCCATCTTTCAAAGGATGTCATGTATGTCAGGAAAAAGTTGTGGGAGTTGCATTAAACTAGTAAAAATTTCTTCTAATGGTAGAAGAATAAAGGTTTTCAAAGTCATAGCAGTTAATGTTCTTGATTGTTAAACTTTTAAAACTGCTGAGAACTGGAGCATTATTATAAATAATCCAACTATAATTGTGTTGTTTGTTAATGAGATGTTGGATTAAATTACAGATTTTTTTAAGTATAATTGCAAATATGTAATCTATATTCTTTTTATAATTATTTCTACCATTAGCAATAAAATATGTCATGGATTAATTTATTTTCATGGATTAATTTTGCACTTGATTTGCTTATGCTTCTGAATTTAAATGATATTGTAGATTAGTTCGAGTATTAAATCTTTTATATGTTTGCACATTTTTTTAAAAATTATTTTGGCTTTTTTCCTTTTTTAGGATTTAAATTTGTTAAAAATTAAATTTAAATTTGTTTAAATTTATGTATATATAGTATATGTATGTTCTCTTTATGACAAGCAGAATTGTGCCCTTTGAACACCAGCTCCTTCATATGGTAATGTTTTATAATGAAATACATATTTTCAATTTATAATAACAAGCACTTTTAAAATACTACATAAAAATTGCAATCATGACTTTATAACAAAAATACTTACAATAAAAAGCTGTCCAGTATATTTAATAATGGTTCAAGTTTCCTCTGAGATATACTCATTTTTGATATAAAATCAGGCAGCTTCACTGTAAAAGATATAAAAAATGTATTTTCCATGAAAAAGAGTTAAAAAATTAATTTATGAACTCCAATTCTTCACTACAGTGAAATAAATTCTCCCGATTTTAAAATCTTGATTTTTTATTGCAGTAGAATTCCAATTACTCAAATCACTTTTCCAAGCCACATAAAATTAAGCTTCTTATAAATTGATACATATGATTTTAATTATTAAATACCATGAAAAGATACTACGCTAAGCTGCAGCTTTTTCTTTCCTTCTTCTTCTTTTTTTACTTTAGAAGCTATTAAATTAATTAAAAGTATACAAAACCTTTTTTTTTTATTTATTTATTTATTTATTTTTTTTTTTTTAATGTTTGTGCATTTGCCAGCTAAGCATTTCCAAGAAATTAAGGCCATTCAGCCATATGATCATCAAGATTACTCATATTATATTCACTCTTCAATTTCAGAAATGGCATTAAACATGCAGCCTGACCCAAAATACGAGGGCCATCCAGGAAGTAGATTACGTTTCCGTCTGTGTCCGCTAGGGGCGGGGCTAGCGCGGCCATCTTGGGGTCAGAGCGTTGCGCAGCTCAGTCTGCATCTAGCCGTGCTAGTGAGAGGTTTGTGCTGTGCTCCGTTCAGATACTGTGACGGTTTGAAATGTCTGCGTTATTATGAATGAAAATCCCGCGAGCTGCGAGGTGCGCTCAGTAATAAGGTTTCTGACTGCAAAAAACTGTAAACCGATAGAAATCTATCGGCAGCTTCGTGAAGTGTATGGGGACAATATTATCACTGAAGGTGGAGTGCGTCAGTGGGTCATAAGATTTCAAAATGGCCGAACCAATGTTCACGACGAAGATGATCGAAGTGGGAGACCCCAGCATAGTGACCGCCGAACTTCTCGAAAAGTCGATGCTAAAGTCCGTGAAAATCGAAATTTCACAATAACGGAACTTTCTTTGAGTTTTCCACAAATTTCGCGAAGTTTGTTGCACGAAATCATCAGCGAAAAGCTTGGTTACCACAAGTTTTGTGCAAGATGGAAGGCAAGAAGAGGTAACGAAGTGGTTGAAGGCGCAGGCGGCCGAATTTTCGACGAAGGAATTTCCAAGCTCGTACATCGCTACGATAAATGCCTTAATTTGTATGGTGACTATGTAGAAAAGTAGTATTTGAGTGTGGCTTTCATCTGTTATAATAAAATTTGTTTCCTATACTTTGTTTATTTTTTTACTCCAAAACGTAATCTACTTTCTGGATAGCCCTCGTATTTGGCTAAAATATGGCTTACAAATATTATTAAAATCAATCACATATTTATACAGGGTTCATACACATTTCTGCACATGGAAATTAAGTACTTTTAAGGACCATTAATGAAAAAAAATTAAGGACCTATGAGCATATGGGAACTAATTAAATTCAATTAAAAATATTATTCTATGCCTGAATTTCACTTTTCTAATGCCATCCTAAAAATAAAAAAAGATCCGTAAGTAGTATGCATTATTACCAAATGTAAATTAATTAACATAATTATTAATTTGAGAATAAAATAAACTTCATGCAGTTTATCAAGTAGCATTAAATATTTTACACTTATAATAGGTTGGACATATTTGAAAGAAATGTGACATTTATATTTTACTAATAGTTAGCTTTATGTTGATTTTTTATGTCTCATTTTGTCACATACTTGGTCAGTCTAGAGCAGAGGTTCTCAACTGGTGGTACGCAAGAAAGAATAGGTGGTACACACAGAAGTAAAGTATTTTTAACTAGTTATTTCAAAAATTAAAACCCCAACTTCCTGATTTGAGTTTTTTCTCTAACACTCGTAAATTTATGCGATCTGAGCTTTGTTCAAAAGTGGTGGTGGTAGTAGTACTTTGGTGGTACTACAGGTTTTCAATTTTTATTCAGATGGTACACGTTAGTCCCCAAAAGGTTGAGAACCGCTTGTCTAGAGTTTTAGTAAATAGCAGGTAGATTTTATGTCAAACGGCATAGGTTAAAATGAGAAGTATCATAAACAGCATCATTCATAACAAAAGACTGAATGTTATCACCGCTGCTGCTTGTCTAGAGAGAGACCTGCTGATTAGAACAAACCTGAAAGGCATGATGTACGCACGGTTGGCAAGTGTTGAAAGTTAGTCATGCTCTGATGCAGTTAGTGTCGTAGCTTCATGTAGAGTTCCAGGGGTTGTAACCCAGTTAATATACTTTCAGATTCCAATAAACCATTAAAGCACCACAGGTGATAAGTTGTTTTGTATTAAGTCTCACTAGATGCAAATAATAAGCTTTACTTGAATTTCTACATTTTTGTGTTTTATCTTCTGACCGTTGTGAGTATTAATGATAGGCAATAACTCGCTTTAATACGTAGAGATAATTTTTAAGGGTAAGCCATTAGTTATAAATAAATAAATTAGGTAAATAGGTAACCGTAGTCATTATGGACTTACATGGCCAGTATTAAATTTTATTTTTTTTTAACAATATTTGTTAAAAAAGCCCTAATAAAATCAAAATCTAATAAAATTTCACATTTGAAAATACATGTTATTTATGACACTGATTCTTAAACGGTATTAGAATAATTACACATTAAAAGCTACAAAACATTTATGTTTTGTAACAACAACACTCAACAAAATATTTATCCATCATTTTAATTTGAAGCATTCCCAAATATTTTGACTAGTTTATATCGATTTCCTTCTCTTTAAGCATCTTTTCTAACAATAATTAGAGATTTGTCTCAATATGCAAACCAATGCTATTGCTAGTTTCTGTGTGCTTTATCTCCTAATTTGTCCACCTTTCATAAATTGTATGATGCATTAAAACATATTAGATGGATCTTTTAAATTGTAAGTTTTCAATTTCTTTATTAATAAAAAAATCCCTTTCTATAATGCCTGCCCAAGTAATACGATTAGAAGCATTTTTGATATTTTCCATGCTTGTGTCTAGTGAAAAGTAGAGAAAATAAAGGGAAGATAAATATGTTAAGAAAAAGATTTTCTAGTATCAGGAGTAAAACACTCAAATATTATGTCTTCATTGTTGTTCCAGACGTTCTCCAAAAAGTAAGAAATTCATCGCAAGCATTCTGTAAAATACATCCATTATGCATTGATACCATGGAGACATTTTTCACTTTGTCACATATTTCTCGAGTCTTCTAGAACTGTTGGTCTATAAATCTTGCCTTCAAATCCTTGTAAATTTTCCAAGCTGCAGTGTCAAATATACTAAAGAAAAATTATCATCAGGCAACAGGCACAGTTAGAAAAGGTCATATTGATAAACCACCATTGCAATCAGATGTTGCCCTAAAGAAAATGGAAAGAGGCTCATTCAGTTATCGAGTTGATGGCAAAGGCAATATTGTCTGTAGATGGCATGACAACAGTGTTGTGACTGTTGCATCATCTGGTGCTGGTGTAAATCCACTGTGTCTTGTAAATCATTATTCACAAGAACAAAAAAAAAGAAAATCAAGTTCAGCAGCCAAACATGATAAAAGTATATAACCAATTTATGGGAGGGTGGATAGAGAAGACGAAAACATTGAAAAATATACAGCACCAATTCGTGGAAAGAATGGTATTCAAGTCCATTGTTGTTCTGTTTCGAAATGGCCTAACAAAATGCTTGGCATTACACAAAAACTTATGATGCAAAACCATGGATCTTTTAGAATTCCGTCGTCGTGTAGCATGCCATATCTTGAGGCTGATGGTCATCCTGCAGAACCTGGCAGGAAAGGAAAACCCTCTCAGAAGCGAAACATTGATTCACGCTATGATGGCATAAATCATAGGATTATAAAGCAAGGAAAGCAAACTCGCTGTGCTCAATGTCATAAAAACACCATTTTTCGATGTGGAAAATGTGATGTGGCTTTACATGTTAAGTGTTCTTCCAATTACTATACCGAGTAATGGGAATAACCACATTTTTAGAGGAAACCCACGATTTTATATATTGTAACATTATAGCAATGGTTTTGCCAGTGTTCCATTTTTGGAACACCATATAACTTGTAAACTAATTAAAAAAAAATTCTTCTTCAAATCATTGTTTATTATATTTTTTTACCTAACATATAGAAATTTCATGCAAAAATTCCAATTTTTTGACCTTTGGCATAATGGGTTAAAAAGAAGATATTTTAATTAAATTACATAGCTAATTTTGCTTTGCTAAGAGTTTTTCATAAATTGTGCTTTATAGCATTATACCTTGTTTTATTTTTCAGATTCAAAACATTGTATAATAAGTTGCCAAAATGAAACTTTATAATATGACAGCGGAAAATAAAAATGTTTTATTTTAATGTTATTTTTTTAAATATAATTCCAATATATTACCATTATTTTAATGAAATTTATCAAAGTTATGATGTTTAAAAAAAATCGTTGAAAAATTCTGATTTCGCAATTAAAATTTTCTACAGAAACTGGTCTTAAAATCGCCAAAATGTTGACAAGTCACCAAATTTAGAACCGTTTAATAAAATAATTCACATTCCCAAAAGCGAAAATTGTTTAAGAGCTCTTTATTACAAAAAATGAATTTCGAAATGCTTATGTTTCACTTCTTGCTTAGAAATTCGAGTATCCCATCATTTATACTAAAAATAGAAACAAATTAAAACCCATGAACCCATTCAAAAGATAACAAATATACGTCAGTGAATCGCCAAAAATATTCCTCCAAAATGCTAATTCACACTCAAAATGGCAGTTGTAAAAACAGACAGAAATTTCAGATCATTAAAATTAAGGACCTTCTATTGATTTTGGCCAAAATTAGACTTTTAAGCACCAAAAATCGATTCCAAAAAATTTAAGGACTCTTAAGGACCGTACGAACCCTGTTATATTAGACAGTTGATTTTCACCTACTTTGAGAAAAACTGTTAAATTATGATATTATTATATTAATAACATCCATTATTGCATATAAAGTGAGTAAAAGATTTGATGTTGTTAAA